GCGAGGCTTAATCTTGGAGTTGAAGGCTCGTTGGGTTCCACCATGTTTGCATGCAGACAGCAGAGTGCACGCGAGCACATAATTGAATCTCGTTGCACCCGAGGCTATTGGTTCCTATTGTCGGCTTGTTTGTACGTTCGAGCGAAGCCGCTGCTTTCGATTCGTACGCCGGCCGGAATCTCTTTTCACCGTGCGACGGAAGCACGCGAGTCGGCAAGCTAGCGGTCGCGGTAACGAGGAGAGATGCGCCACAGCGACGAATCTATTGAGAGTAACGAGGTCGATCGTGAGGCTGCCGCTAAATCTCGGTGTGGCTTTCTTTCGTTAGACGGCAAAGCGAAGGAACTGACGAACGCGCAGCACAATCAGGACCAACGGCTTTGTTTTGCCGAGAAGTTTTCCTCTAATCTTTCAACCGGAGGGATATCGAATAAAGGGGAATATCCGGGTAAATTTAGTAATTTTGAGAAAATCGAAGTTATATAAAAGGTGTCGTGGCTAAATGAGATCACGTAAGTGGAATAAGGCAGAGTTGTTTAAGATAAAAGGATATTTTAGTCGAGCTAAAATAATTTGTAAATAGTGGAATGCAGTTAAGAAGCATTTTTAAACTATCTATTCTCATTCCTAAATTATATTTTTACACTTTCCTGGAAATATCGAAAATACCCTACAAAAGATATTGACATAATATGAAAATATTTTATTTTACCCTTTTCGTCTATTTTTACATACGGTATCATCTCTTGCCCTTATACGATACCTGGACAATATACGACAACCTGTATAAGGCTATTGATGTCGATCGCGATGAAATTGATGACGCAGGTTCTGTAAGGGTTCAGGAGCCAACAGACAACCCCATTTAGACTTTTCCCTACGGGGGAAAAATTTTCAACAAACGATCTCTGCGAATATTCCCATCGATCAATAACATTCAATCTTTCACCTATTAACAGATTTCATAACTATCGGGACGAGTGGTATTCGACAGGTGCTACATCGAGAAATATGAAGTGGACGCAGTATCAGTTCCAACTAACGGCAGAGTGCCGTGGAATATGTGCGGCTCGCTGTACCTGTTACTCCATGCAAGCTTTATGCAATCGATCAAGATGATGGATTCGAATTTATACTTTTGCTCGAGGCATTCTGACAAAACAACAGCTCGTCAATTTGACTTGGAAAATTCTGCAATATCGCCAACAGTGTCACGACTTTAGATATAATAAAAACACGCTTGCATCAAGTGGTAAGAGCTTCGTAATACTCGCCACACGTTTAGATCGATCTTTGTATCGCAAGAAAGCAATAAAAGCGGCAAGCGATCGCGACGTGAGCCTCTCAGAAGCAAAACTGGACAAATGTACTTTTTGTTCCCATCGGGTACGTTTTCTCGCGGAAATATTCAAACGATTCGCGTATATTCCACATTTGAAACTTTATTAGCTCTGTTACGGGACTTGACCGCCACCATTACACGAGATTGGAAATCTGAATAACGAGATAACTAGGCTTCCTAAACTAGCAGAAAGAAATAACGTTTGTAACAACGTGACTTTTCTCTACTTCGTAATTTACGGTTTACGGAGGTTTACGGAGGCATGGTTACTTAACCAGTTTGGCATTTGAGTGGGTCATATAGCAGATATGAACTATAGTACGGTGGTCTGTAATGAATTGCTTTACGTCAATTTTCATACTGTTTGAAAGATTGATGAATGGCTTTTGTCGACTGTAATTACAGCAGGTTGAGTCACCGCGTTATGTGCAGCTCCAAGTAACATAATGGGCATAATTGAATAGACCGTGCGTACATAATTATTATCGCAGTACACTAGGTTGCGATTTCGAAGCAAAACGCGCATTCTGTAGTACGCCATATAGGAACGTTTCTCTCGGACATGCCTCATAGTCTCTTTCTCCTTCTCTCTCTCTCTCTCTCTCTCTCTCTCTCTCTCTTTCTCTTTGCTCGGAGGCTGGCCCTTGAAACAGGGAAATAGTTGAGCCACGTAATTTATCAACTGACCCATTTCCTGAAGTCACAGCCGAAAGATCGGAATACCCTGCGAGAGCGTTTCGATTGTTTCCGCCCTCAAGCCCGCGTAACTCGGATTCTCGCCGAATTATTACGCATTCCGCGGCCTCCGCCGTTTGATTCGCTTGCATCCTACCACCATCTCTATTCCTTTTACCGACCTTCCTACACAACCAACCCTATACGTTCTACTCTTTTTTCCACGCTGCATCGTTTATACGATTGCTGCTATTTGATGAAACAAAATGCTCGAATATACAATGGGGCATAAGTTTGGAACTGGTAAACTATGAATTCTAGCAACTTTTGTATTATACATTTTTTACTGTTATTGCTAATAGTTATAATATATTCCACGGTATATGCTACATTTATTCGTTGCTCTTATTAACTATAAATCCATTTGGTGAAATGATGTATTTTTGGTGAAATGATGGTGTATTTTTATACCTCCCAATTTTATTAAAATGACGAAGATTTTTGGAATAAAACTGTGAAACGTGCGTGAAACATGATATTTTACTTTTATTTGTGGAACAACTAAAAACGAGACAACAATTGCGAGGGAACAAATATTACCCTATTATCGAATCGATCGATTTCGAAAACTTCGACCTACCTCGTTTCCAAATAGTTAATTATTGCAATTATTGCTGAAACCTCGGTATCCCATTTTCAAGTCAATTATTATTATTTCACAATTGACCATGGAAATCATGAATTCTTCGTTTCAACATAAGTACTTACTGAATTTCCTCTATCGATATTTTTTCAATAGAATATGAAAATTTTGATTCTTCTAGTTACACGATACATTCGATTCTCCTTCGATCGACTACCAAAGTCTTCGTCCCCTTTTTTCTGATTTCGAGAATAGTTGGTTATTCGTTTCCCGGCAATTGTTTCTTTGTCGAATATCTAAACTTTGATCTCTCTTATTTCAAGATACTTCCTTATTGCTTGTTCTTTTTCCACGCGAGCTGAAATTAAACAAGGGTTTGCTCATCGATTCTTCGACGTATCTTTATAGAAAATCGATGGAAAAATTGTGTTCCGGTCCGTGCCGCTAATTACCGGTATAATAAGCGCAATAATCCCTTCTTCAATGGCGGTAAGTCGACGCCTAACGTCCGACTGACAGAAGAACGAAGAACAAAGGTGAAATGTAGGCGAACACGAGGCAGAAGCATCCGGGCCTCGTTAATCGGTATTTAAAAATAACGAGGGAGCCGAACACGTAGAGATCCAGTTTCGAAACGACGATCCGTCCCCGGCCCGAAATACGAGTTGACGTTCTCGAGTTATCAGCAGAAGGTGGCCTCCGCTCGTTAATTCCCGCGCTAATACGTGCGGTCCTCTGTGACTGCTCATTACGGCGGCTGGTATTAAACGCGTGGCTCTCTATGCTTTATTACCAGTTAAATCCTCTAACTCGATTCGTTGCTCGACTGTTCGATGTTTAACAAACCTATTAGAGAATTTCATCCCTTTTCTTTCGTTTGTTTAGATCATCTTGCTTCGATAAAGTACGAAAATGAAATATTGTACAGCGTGTGTCTTTTACTTTTGACGTAATTCGTAAATTATTTATTCTAATAAGCATTTCTGAAAGATAGATAACCCAAGATTGTAACATTTGATATTGCTATTAGTAACTTTTATACGAAACATTTTTTAGCAGGGCACCAGTCATCTATTCTGGAGTGTAATTCTGTATTTTAAAATTATAGTATTTTTTCATACCTGCTATCTCATAAACTTTCATTTGGCCTATATAAAAGACAATTTGTTCTTTTTATAGCCATATATTTTTTAATGATGTAACTCGTCATTGCCAACAAAAAATTAGAAATCACGATATTTTTCGTGCAACTAACCAGGGTAAACCAATAAAACGTAATTTATGAAATAACAAGAGTATTACCGCGATGGAGTAAAGACTTTTTTAACAGCTCACGGCTCGGTAAAAGAAATAATTTGATAATTTCCCACATACGAAGTGTGAGCGTAATTCCTGTATAATTATACGTACAATAATTTAATAAAACGTACAATTTCCACGGAAGGGAAAGAGAGCGTACCGAAGTGAATTACCTGCTCGCACGGAAATTCTGGCAAACGATAAACGCGCCGGACACTTTCAAAAAGATTGAATAAAATATACAAATAATGCTTCCGTCGCGTCGTGCGTATCCTGTGGAAATTTCGCGAGGAAGTCGAGGAGATAAAGCGAGAACCACGATCGAATAAAATATTAACGCGGAAAATGCGAATAGGTCGTGGCAACGAACGACGTTGCCTCGGAAAAACGTTAACGTCTGCGTCACAAAATTAACGCGTAAATTATACATTGCCATAAATTTTCAGGAACTGTGCCGCTTAAAAATGTTTGCCCGAAACGGAGAGTAGCTGGATATAGTTGCGATTTAGAAACGATTAAATTATAGAGATCGGACAGGATCATTCCGCGGGCATTTCGATTTAGACATTGAAGTCATCAAACGTTTCAATTCGACTACGGCAACTCGGATTCCTAAGAAATTCATATCTCAGCCGGCTATGTGGTTGAGAATGATTTCGTTGTAGTCTGTCGAAGGACTTGGAGCAAATTTGGATTTCGAGCAATTACGATTAGCTTCGAGAGATAAAAAGTAAAAAATCAATTTCGTATCGCAGTCCTTTCAATCACGAAAGTAGAGAATTTAAAAGACAAATTTTTCGACTCTATCCTGAACTGATCCGCGAATAATTAATCACGAAACCAATATTCGTTGGTTAATTATACGCGTGGCAGCACATTCGTATCGTGGAAACAATAAAACATGATTTCGAACGAACGAAAAAATAGTATTTATATACTAACGTATCTCGCTAGCTGGTGATTATTTTTGCGAACAATAAACGAATTGCGATATGAACGTTATTACACCTTCATGTACGTAATACACATTATGTAAAACTTATTTGCGTCACGATGTCGCGTGACTTTTGCGAAACGGCAATTTGTTAACTCGAGGTTATTGCTTATCTGTATCGGTATAAAAAATATTGCACAAAATATCCATTTGTTACCATAGATAGTTATCGTCATTTACGCCAACAAATAGAAACGGCTTTTAAACGTTTCGAAATTATTTTGTTTACGAATTTACTCGCAATAACCTGCAACGAGAAAATTATTTGTTTCATCATTTATCAGTAAAAGCGTTAAACGATACCGAGTTCGTCCATTGTATGAAAGCGAAGATTGAATATAAACTGAAATCGACCACCGGATCGACTACCAGCAAATGTTAGAAGTAAGAATGATGATACGAGTGCGCCACATTCCGTAATTGGACGTAACAACCGATACTTTCGCCAAGTTATTGTTATTATCGCAGTTTATGTCGGCGACAGTGGTTACTACTCGTTTTGTTCGCCATTTTATTGCCGTGACGCGTTTAGTTAATTAATTCACTGCCTGGAACGCCGTTACTTCTCAACAGATATCACCTCTAAACATGTTATGTACTCTGTTATTTACCTCGGTCTGTGCAAACAACCCGGATTTTCTAAATGAAAGAAAGCTGCCTCAAACGCAATCGATACAAACGACGCAATAATTCCTTTTTAACTAGTTAGAACTCCATTTCCTTGTCTGATTATCGCTATCTTCACCGATTCTTGCAAATGACTTTGCGAAATGAACTTTTACGATTATATTGATATTACATACACTTCGTAAAAACATGTATAGAAACATACAGATTCCTGTCTGATAATCTAGTTGACAAAGCACTACTGTGTCTACTGATTCGATAGAAACGAAACTCAATGGAATTCTTTATGGTTAGTTTGACAGACACGGATCATTACCTGAGTCCATTGAGCACTCGATCGCTGCAATCGGTCACCGTGTCCCAGGGTTACGATTCGATTCCCCTGTCTCACAATCAGTATTTATAACAAACTTGAGTTCAGCAGGTATCGGTAACTGACATCAGACGATTCTCGCAATCCTATTAATTATACTGTTTCAATATTTATACGATATGTATAGCAGAGATATTAGCATAAGCGAGCTTCCAGCAAACTTATAACCACCGACACCCGGTAAAAACTACAAACAAGGTCTCGCGATTTTCACGATATATTTCACTGCTTATCACGTCATTAATATCGTGTCAAATTGCCTGTTCAAGAACAGATCATTTAAAAATTATTTATAACCGAAGTTGGCGACTTACGAGGAAAATTACTTGACTTGACCGAAACATCCATCTGACTCTCGTAAACCCCGTTTTACCCTTTGTAGTACGTATATACACGATACTTGTAAACCTTAAAACTCGACGTACGACAACTAAGAACGAAGTTACGATGGGTATCGATCAATTGCTCGAGGCAAACGCGTTGGCCAATCAGGTATCCCAATTTACTACGTTGCCCGGCAATAAATTAATTTCCGAGGCGTTGAGACCTTCGGTAGCGGCCGCATGCCTAATTTGCGGTGGAACAGAGTTCGCGATCCGTTCCACGGAGTTGGATGTTCGACCTGCCAAGGAGGATGGAAGCGGTCAACGTGGCGTTGCCACGGGTCCCGC